AAGTGTGAGAAAATGAATTTCTCATTTCCCTCTTTGCTACTATCCGTTTACACTGATTTGCCAAACCGCAGTTTATCGCTGGACACATAAAATCGGAAAAAGCTAGTCCTTCACAACAGCTCGTTTTATTTCATGTTTGGCTTACAATTTCCAAACGCAGCCCAACTAGCATTTCTCACTTTTACATCTTCTGGTTTATATGAGCATTCTAGGTAACACGTATTAAAAATTTTTCATCCGTATCAAAAAGTTAATCACAGCAAGTGGGACGCATCATGCGGTTTTCATTAAAATAGGAAACGCACGGAGAATGAATCCAATTGTTTTTTCTGAGTGGGAAGATAGCGTTGCTTTTGAACCGCATGAACGGGCGAAGAAGTCGAAATCCATGTCGTCGAGGGATTCTGGATAACATCCGAGTTATGGATTATGCACGTTATTGATTGTATAAGTGAGCGATACAACAATTTCTACGCTATCTACATACATGGGAATCTTCACTATGTATCTACGCACATGCACCTGTCGTGGTCGCAGTTGCTTGTTAAGCCGAGCAAAACAGTTCCTTTTATTGATTCATTCGTAGTAGTAACAAAAGTAACATGCGGTAGGGAGGTCATTTTAAGTGCTCACTGTGACGAACGCTCTGAAGGAAGTGAAAGTGTAGCATTGCATGTTTAGCAAGTGTTAGAAAAAGTTAATCATTAACTTAGCAACCGTATCTTATATAAATGCATCTGGTATTTGTCAGGGAAAGTAAAGAAAAATCTAGATGCAATTTTAGTAAATTTCAGACTGCTTGGGTTATCGCCTACACAGGTCTGCTTTCAAATCAAGAAATCACTCTGTACAACCTGGATGGGTGAAAATTTATCTACAACACACACGATCTCAACAATGTATAAAGGGACAAATCCAGTATGAAAAGGCACCATGCGTAAAGTATAATCAGGAATGTTTCATATTGCAAATCGACTGGTTGTCTAAAAGGAGAGAGTTAAGCTCTAACGAAAAACGTGTACGAGCAATTATCAAATTGCGCTTCTGTCAGATAGACGACGCTGAGAAACATGCAGATAACGCGTCAGAAAGGCGATGAGTTGTATCGACCAATGTCTTTGATGGCGATTACTTACGACAACTAATGAGTGGATATAAAAATATGTTGACAAAAATATATATCTAAGAGCCAATACAAAGGAATAAGTGCCTTAAATACCTGCCAAATAACTTAAACTGCTTATCTGAAAGCCATAGGGTGATCACGAGGAGCAGTAAGTTAAATGAGGACCAAATCAATCATTGACAAAACAAAGCAGAAAACCGCGAGCTGTGGCTCACTGTCAAAATGTGTAGAATTACAACGTGAATTTCATGAATATCTCATTTGCATGATGGGTACAAGATAAACCGTAGTTCGGTGACATATTTAGTTACTTTACTGAATTAGCAATGTGTAGCCCCACACTGTCAATATATTACTTGGCGCATTGCATAAGCAGCTAATCATAAGTCGCTTCTCTGCGTCGCAATAAACTAAACTCATGACCATTTTATGCATTAAGGAGAGATGACAATCTTTGGAAAAACATTTAAATCGTTCAGAAGATTCGTAACCTGCGTGAACAATCGGTGGTTTGATGGTTTATACCCAAAATTATGCAAGCAACATGTTTTTGTAGAGTCACTTCTATGGGGGCTGTTATTGATCTGACATAACTACACATGAGCTACAGAATTGCGCCCGGATGCTTTCTGAAGAGAACCGGATTTGGTGATAAATAGGAAGGGGCATCTACCATTGACTTGAGTAGTCTGAGTGCATCCAGAAAATTAAACACTCAGGGGTATGTATTCATTGAATGGATGGCTATCTTAGCAGCAATTCGTCTTTTTCACAGCCGAATGTACGAGGTAGGGAATTGTATCTAGAGTAGACCACCAACTGAAATAACCGTAGTGAAAGGGGGTCATTCCAGCGAGTTTGGAACAGCAAAGCAACAAGGATATTTCAAAAGCCTTCGAGGCAAATGGGTTGTAAACTATTAACCAATAAGTGTTGAATCCATTTTTAGAGCCGGTGTGATATTGATACATCTCCATTAGTCAGCGATTTTGTGTTGCTGGATACACATTATGCATACGGACGAAACATATGCTACACATTTCATTACATTCTTCGGGTACCATGCCAGATAGTGTATCATGACCACCTCCTTTGCCGGAACGTAGGTGCGCTACTAAGTTATTCACAGTTGCGTTGTGGGAAGGAAGTGTGTCTATAGACCCTAGAACATGGGAAAAGGATGTTTTGAGTCTACAGTAGTTTCGCTGTTGTAGAATTCACGGTTCAGTACTTCACCATTCGCATTAAAACTGGGCACATGTTAGGTAACTCCGCTAAACTGCTTCAACATCCTTAAGCGTTTGTAACAGCTGTTGTTCTCAAGTACTGGTCAGAAATACACTCGGCAAAGACGGCATAACTATTTCTAAATAGGAACAGTGAGAGTCCTCACTGAGGGGCTGTCCAATTCCTTAAACGCTTTCTACTTAAGTAGGCGCAGCTGCAACGTTTAGGGAAGAAGAATATGACCGTGCAAACATAGAGAGCTTTCCAAGTACAGCAGAATTCAAAACAGAAAATTACATATTGATAAATTTGCACAATATTTAGATATGTCCTACCTAAATAATAAATTATATTCTCTTGATATATCCATTTCATGAATTCCACTGATCTTTTGTGAACAGTACTACTCCAACCTGAACCATTTGATTATTCTAACGAGTCTTATCGTTGAGACTTGTCTTGCTGCAAATGACAGGAGAAAGTTTGATTGCTGAGTGCTCAAAACTGTAAATTAATACACGATATCACAAAGTGAGCCACTTTACTTTATTAACTAACACCAGGTCCAGAGTTGCGTCTAATTTGTTCGGTAAGTTTATTATGTTCCCTAACCCGAACGTGGTAAGAAAATAGCATTAAATTTGTAGAAATCTCCGGAGAGTATACACGGAGAACAGTGGATATGTTCTGTGACGGTTGCTGTAGATTCATCATCAAAATTATTTTCTGCAACTTTTCCACAACTCCGGTATCTACAGAACTTAGCGAAAAATCTTTAGCGGTAGCTCTACACACACCTCGGCTTGCATTGTGGGACTAGACAGTCGAGAAAGTATGAAAAATAAGAATAGTTAAGTTTTGCTTCAATGTACCAAGACGGTGTAGAGTAAATAAGGACTCCACCACCTATGTTTCGGAACGTGCCTCGGCGATCAGCCCGAAAGCAAATTTAATATTCTACAGATAGGACAGCAACATCCATTTCTTCGAGGACCCCTGTTTCTTGCAACATAACGACGTCTAACTGTAAAAATTCTCTGGAAGTTGGGATGCAGGTTAGTATCAGAAGTTAGTTAGAAGTTAGTTTCCAGAAGTTAGTTTCCAGAAGTCAACTAGTGTTGGCATTAAACGATACTAACACGCTTATATTCCTAGTGGTTTGCTTCCGGAAAGCAACCATCTATCTAGAACAATGCTATTTCACTGATTTGACAGATGATTAACTAAGAGCTGACCAAAAGCGTTGAATATCTAATCACATTGATGAGTGTATTTATTAGGTTCACCTTATTCTTTTCCAATGTGGTTCCTCTTTAAGCACTTCATAAATAACAGTGAGTACTGTGAGCAATCTAGGTTGGTCAGTTGTCAGTTAAATGAGTTTCAAAAGGTTATGTCTGGTTACTTCACCAAGTGTACATTACATCGTAAGAGAATTTCAGTAAAATATGATAAATTGCCATAAAGGTACGCGATTATATTTTCACCTTTAACGCGTGTGGCGTCGGATTAGTTGTTTTAACTAAATCTGCGAGAGCTCATATGGGAGTAATAAATGAAACAGCATTGAGTTACTAACTCCTGTGCTTTATTTTTCTTCATAGAAGTAGACCAAAGAAACAAACTGTCATCTGTAGTAACAGAAGTTTAGAAGCTGCATTTTTAGAAGCTGGGAATAGTAAACTTGATTGGCACTTTATTTGCTGTAAAAGTATTTGTGAGGACTCCTAACACCCTACCATCATCTCAGCGAAAAATGGTGCGGAAATTAGTATTTAGATAAAACAAATAGCATATCGTAATTTCGAAGTTGTTCTTACTTTGTGCTCTTCGGTGTCCCACATTTCAATTTAGAAAGACGTCCGAAATCACGGAAATTATGGGTAAATGTATATCGCGTGAGTAGTATATATAAAGCTTATACGCAGTTTCATTATCAATGCTACCTGTAAAATATAATGTTGAATTGAACTATAACAATCTGGTAAGCAAACTTAGTGGCAAATCAAGTTTCTGACTTGCACATACCTTACATTCAAGGTAGCTAGGAATCGCTATACCAAAAGATCTACACTTGGAAAGTTCAACCGTGCACTGCTTTAAACAAAACTGACGTGATTTTTCTTCCATATGTGTGGATTTCACAAAAATGTGATTTGACAGGAAGTTTGGTGTTAAGCACTCTAACGTTGCGTGTTCAGTGCAACTATGAGCATTCTGGTGTAATATGCTGTACATTGATAATGGAGTGAAGGCATTGGCACATGTGCACCAGACTGAAATGGGCACTGCAAGGGGGACAAAATCTACGGTTCCGGTGAGCCTAAACTGTTGGCAACAGTACATCGGCAAAAAGATGCGTAAAACTAAACGGCCGTCTGTGCTAGTGTTAAACACACCAGGTGCCTCGCTCAGCACCTCGTCTCCAACATTGCCATCGTTAGCGAATTATGACGCAACGGGCTTTCTAGTTTAGATAGGAGTTAATCAACACACGAGTTGCGGCTTTAAATTATATCTAAGCCAGGATTAAATAATTATGAATGCTGAGCCATTTTTGGTCTCAGTTAAAAGTCTTTAATGAGGAGAAGGTCGATCACTCTGCTAGGAAAATATTGCATGGGTCTAGAGTACTAACCAACCCTACCTGATTTGCGTCCAACCCCCAAAATTCCAGTTCCTCTTCAAACAAAGGACCACAGACGTCTGTGGGGTAATGCAATTTTCCGGTACGATAGTAATTTAAAATCTGTCCGAACACACCCGGATGCCGATCGAAGAAATATTCATTCAGTATTGGATCGTAATTGGCCACCGCTTCAGTTAATTTAGATAAACGAGTTGCCGGGATTTTCTTTAAAGTCGCCTTGTAAGTTTCATGTCGAATTCCACCGACGTTTAGAATAACCCGGTTATCCGAATCCATGTTGAGGGAAGCTTTGACGAATTCTGAAAATGTTGGAGGTTATTGTCAAAACAGATGTCAACAATTAACAGCGATCTATAGTCAAACAGGATAAATGCATGCAAAATTAAACTGCGTATGTACAAAAAATCACTGAAAATCAGTTCCGTTTCATTAGACTAACAGCGAAATCACTCAGTAGACAGCCTGCATACTTTCATTGTTCTTTTCAAACTTTTGAACAAAGATCAATCACTTCTTGCTCAGATGCACGTCATTTCACTATAGCTATCCGAACACAGTAAACTTTCTCTTTTGCTTGTAACAAATAGTAAACATGATCATTGCCGAAGTTGCAATGTTTCCTCACTGCATACGGTGTAAGTTATTTGGCTAATCTGTCAAGTCATAATGACAGCGTTTTTCCATTGTGAAACCGGGTAGTTACTAGCTCTTACTACAGCAAACCAAACGTCAATCGATAAAACATTCAGTAATATTCAGCTGTTTATATTGTTGAGCTGTAAATATACCTGGTAACTAATTCGTCTCAAAAGTTCATTTACAGAGAGATCTGTCTTACCTTTTGGAAAACAAGCTGAACGGTAAGCAGGGATTAATAGCTATACTTAGTGCAAAAGTGAAAGACTTCGGTTGGAGCTCCGGTCGCAAGTTACTGTCTAAACACTTTTATTGAGCGCTCAGGTCTCTTACACAACTCTGTCCTTAGCATCTAAACTTGCCGTGTATCACTCGTCTGATGGTTGTGAATATTTGCTTAATTTCTTCGTAAAGCACTTAGATCTTGTAGACAGGGCGACCTCCAGCGTAGAATGACCAGAGCGCATCCAAAGGTAGGAGCAAAATTCCTCACGTGAGATTAGTGATCAACAATTTATCATGCTTCGTCCCAAATCAGTAATCCACATAATCTGCAATTCCGGTCAGTGAATCATTCCGCATTCCGGTGACTGATCAACTCCAAATCATAGTAGGCTTTGCTGCTCGGTATACAATGCTAAGTTATGTTCCGAATGAGCAGCGCTCATCGATACAGTGGTAAGTATCACTGCTGATTGGATCGGATTTGCATCAGTGATAAACCTGACTCAATAATAAAAGCTACCTATTCTGCAAGCAACGATATTCATCTTGAGCGTGTTGCAAAGTTGGATTAAGCTCAGTATTGTCGTACTCACCAGAATAAGTAAATGCTTACCTATTGTCTTTCTTGTGAACATGAATGATGGAATACGTGCAATGGCATAACTACTACTGTTATCTCCTGGGACGGTGGTAACATTTTCGCTCTGACTGGGGGCAGCATGGGCGCGTGAATACCACAAAATCGGCTCAAGGGTAAAGTGCGCTTTACTTTGCAAAGCAATGGGTGATTGTTTGACGCACCGAGGTAAATGTGATGAAAGTTAGCACAATGGGACAAGTAGGGGGATTGCTGAGAAGAACATTACCACGCGTGACACACGAAGCATATGTGTTATTGGCCATACAGAGTGACATTAAAATCTTCGACCATCTACTTGTCCGGATAATTTGTTTTTTTACATTTGGTATGGAACAATAGATGGTACTAAAAATCCAGCCCCCTGTTACCTTCCACCGGGGCGGACCGCCCCCCGCCCCCTAGGCTAAACCACTGAACATCTTGAACCAGATCACTTATAAATTACAATTGTGTTACTCTCACAAATAAATTAGTATTATTTGCGGATAGAAATGGCTGTTATAAAAAACTGTCGAACTAGCCACTAAGCTTTGTTGAATTAGTACAATGGAATTTTTATATAACTATACCGTCTAGATAGGAAATGACTGTCCTATGACTAAAACGCTAAAGGCTTTTGCAACAGAACGTCACTGCTAGTACTCTCACGCAAGTTTGCTCTCCGCTTTTCTAACCAGGTAGTTTACACGACTCTAGTATATATATATATATATTTATATATATAAACGTGTTGTCTTCAGGTTGGAAACATAAAATAATGGGTAAAGTCATTTTGATTCATTCATTTTATAGATAGACTGCAGCTCACAAGCTGAAACTGGACCGGGATTTGCATAGACCGTTGAATGTGTATATTAGTCGCAGTACCGAGAAACCGCGCCCCAAATGAAGACGGATCGTAGTTACATATTTAACATGATCACACATGCATGAGCCATGGAGATTTGTTATTGGGTCGTTTTGGTGATTGTCTTCCTTTGGGGCCTCAAGTGTCAATATACCACGGTTCACATTTGAGGGAAATTTGAAAACTTTAGCCCATTGGACAGTATATGATGCGAATAGGTATCGAGTATAACTTTCTCCCAACACTACATTACGCCATCGGTTGGATAAATGTTTGCATCCATCAAGCCAATATAGTAGAACAAGTCCTGGAACCAGGGAGCTTTATGGTGTTATCCGAAATCACTACCTTCAAGTCATTTAGCTGCACTGACAAGTACCATTCGTAACGGTGGATGACTAATTACAGGGTCATCTTGAGGTACGTTCGTTGCGTGATTTCAATTTTTAGGTGGATCACAAGGATTTTAGGATTCCCGAAGCAGAATCATAAAAAGCTTGACGATTAATTAGGCGTAAATCTGAAGTGGTGGCAATTGCGTTAACTTGAGCGCTTGCGCACTTCTAAGTACGATAAAATAGATGGTAACGGGACGCCTAGGTGACTTCTCTGGCAAGCCTGCATATGGGGATACGAGAAAAAGAGTGTATATGACCACCAACGTTCTGCTTATTCTCATGCCAAGAGCGCTAGCAAATGTGTTTCCGCGCACTGCATAGCTGAGTGGTAAAGATAGTTAAACCCATGCACTTAGGTTTAACTGCGCGATTTACATTGACTGAGCGTTAGTGTTGTAGGTGTTGTTCAAGTCAGGCCAAGTCAAACCAAATTAAGCTTTGTCCACTCGTATGGGTTCAATTTTAGTGTTATTACACCCACACTGCGGATTATGATAGAACAAAACATCACTGAGAAATAACAACTAATAGCAGTAAACGAAAATGTGCATCCTCAATAAAGCTTCCAATCACAAAACGGACCTTTCACTCCTGTTAGGTCGATTAGTAGCCGTGATAGAAAAAGCAGAATAGAGTTTCGACAAGATGAGATACGAAAATAAGAAGTTTAACTTTTGTCCGTGTAGATGAAGTTGATGTAGCGCTGGCTAGGATATCATCTAAAGGGCGAGAGAAATCATTTAAAAGTTTGGATAAAAAGTGGACGCATACGTCAAGGTGTTCGTTAGAAATGAAATCTATGGGCGTTTCTTTCCCTAAACCCGAACAACGAGGAATAACTTTTAATGAACGGAGAAGGACATAATCTTTTCAAAGCAGTACGGTGAAAAGAACCGGGGAACGGTATAACCAGTGAGGGAGCATACATGCATTCCCAAACCCTAGAATTAAACCACTGAGAACGGAAAGAATTTTAAGTCTGAGGGCCTAAAAAAGGAGCTTTCCAACGTTTTTAAATGTTTCAAGTATATGTTTAGACCAAGGTAAATTTTGAGATAAGAAAACTTGTAGATAATTATAAGAAATCTGCGAAGTATGCTTTGGTCATCCACAATCATTGGGGAAGAAGTATGTGCAAAGGACTACAGTCTGTTAGAATGTACAAAACGGACCGTTACGTCACAACACTTGGAAGCATTGAGAGGTAGTTGGAGCTGAATCAATTCACCAGTTCGTCTAACCCACTTTGGATTTTCAAAGAGTCCTTGATGATGAGGGTTATGCATCACAGAACGACGTCATCAGCATAGTTACAGTCTATGAAGTCTGATGGAATAATGAGACTTTCAACGTAGGCAGAGAATAGAAAGTGGACAGGAGGGCTCCCTGCAAAACATCACAATTGGCTGGGAGTATAGAAGACTTTTGCTGCACAGCTTCATGTAGTGGGTGCGATTTGTATAGTAACCATGCATCACACTTCACACATATGGATCGACGCCATTCTCAAGCAAACTGTTGAGTAGTCATGATCTAGCAATTCTCCCAAAGGCGTTGATGTAATAAAGAGATAGAAGTCCTACGCTCTTGTATTTATTATCCAAGGTTAACACAGTCGAATGCACCAGATAAGGAACAGAATCTAGCGTGGAGTGCGCTGGTTGGCAGGCCAGCTGTTTTACCTCATCAGTATGATTGACCGTGCAAACGCGAGGGATAAGCAAGTTTTACAGTACCTTTAGCAGCACTGTCCTGCGCGAAATTGGGCGACATTTCAGAGCTTTATTTGTAGGCAATGGTGTCATTCTGGCTGATTTCCAAATGTCGTGGATGGCACCAGTAGCAAAGCGCCGATTCAAGAATTCTGTCGCAGGTGTTATTCAAACACCTGCACATTTGTTCAAAGCGACTACTTATAGGACTTCCGGTCCTCTAACCGAGTTTGGCTTTAACGTTTTGAGCTCGTTGTAATTTCTTGCCGAAACATATAAAGTATCATTCTCAGTAATTGTGAAAGAATGCAAGAGGTGTGTGTTAGACAGTGAGGAGCTGAACTCAGCGCTGAGTTCATCTACATCCTCGCTAATGAGTGTTCTGAAAAAATTCTTTCCGGAGAGTTGTCCTAGAAGTCTCCATATGTCACGACAACGGTGGTTTCCTAAAACGGTCTGAACGTAAAGAGCGTTTAAGCAATTATTTCTGCTTTTATAGCTATGGACATTGGTTTGCCACGAGCCTATAAGCCAGTTCCTTTTTCCTCCTAAGTTGCTTGAGAAAGGATGAAAATCTATCATTTCGCAAATAAATTGTCTCATTGGGATAACATAGATCGAAACAGAAGTTTATGTAGTTTGTGTGGTGTTCGCATTGCTCTAACAAGTCGTCGTTATTAAAAAAATGATAAATCAGTTAAAGACAGTTTTTGATTGAGTTTTCGATGTTATCTGCTGAACAGTTCCTTTGTTTAACAGCTCTGGATGCTTGTTTGGTCAGCGAAAATAGGTGGATTTACTGTATGGCTTAGGGCATA